CATATACGAAAGGTGTTGACAGCATAACGTGGTGACAACATGGCAAACATATCGGTGTTGGCTCGGTGCCTGCCTGTGTGGCCGCTGTGTGGTTTGACCATGCCTCCCTCACAGGTTTCCCCGCCATGCGGAAGCCCAAGAACTGCTGTTCGAGATTGCTCATGAGGCGGTCTGTGCCGGCGACGGGCAGCTCAGCGGTTTTTATGGACACCCAATTTTGTGCGGTAGTGCGTTGTTCAAAGTTTCAAGGAAGGGTTGGACAACCAAGTGAGCTACGGCCAAAACCCACAAATGGATGATTTAGCGGAGATTGCAACCATCCAGCATCAGGTTTACCCACGACGAGGGGTGAGACGTTTGTACACATGCAGTAGTTTAATTGTTGGTACACCAAATGATGAAAACACCAAGCCCTCCAGAAAAGGATTGGAAGTAGAATGGCCGTTGTATATATAGGGTCCCTTATAGGGGACATTGGAGTGGCTTTAAAAGGGTCTTGCCCTCCAGGGCCAGGGCCAAACTGGCAGCGATCTGTGACAGGTGGTTGGATCTGCGGCCAGTGACGCTGTCTATGAGCCTTGGCAGGCTTTCTTGAAGCAGGAAGTCTCCCAAACTCATGCCAGGAGGATACAACATTTGGCTGCCATTGACACTTAGTCAGGGTTCGGGTCATCGACAAGAATCCGACCAACATGCTTGCCGGTGCCTTACTTGTCACATGCCCCTCAAGTGACTTGGGGAAGACGCAGGTCTGAAGAATACAGTCTATGAGCATCTTTTGTTCAACACCTCCCAGGCATGGAGGATGGACACCTGTCACTTTCTTCAACGAGAACGCAGACACACACGAACACATCCTTGAAAGCCGTGGTTTGGCAAGCACATGCTGATGCTGGACCATCCCCGTCCTGCATTCTGACGTGGTGTTGTAGGTAAGGCATCCCAATTCCGCCCGGGACCTGGGCAGATGCTCCGAACCCGTCATGCGTCATCATCTCGAGTCGCGTGTCGCGGATCCTGCAACAGCTGACCCGAAAACTTTTCAATGCTGCGCTCGGTCCCCTCATGTTCCATGCTGCTTTCTTTAGCAGGAAGACCTGAGAGCTTCATGGCGGTATGCAGGGCCTTGCTATTTTGGCTGTTTCCATGTGTTTATTTATATATTTATTTATATATTTATATATTTAGCAAACTGTTTAGCAATATATTAAAATTAATAGTAATATCATCATATTTATATTGTATATGTGTTTTCTTATACTATACTATACACGTGCCGTTAATAAGTTTAAAAAGCCTCCACCCAACAGAAGGCGTGTAGTGCTTTCTATTTTTCAACTTCGACCACTGTGGGTGGGTGGGCTTTTTGAGGCTGGCCAGACGCAACGCATGTCTTTCAATTGAGATCCCTCTTGATCCTCAAGAAGAAACGGTTCACCAAATGTTTGGCTTTCGCCGAGGGAAACTTTCCAGGAGGACGTCCCGTGCGGACGGGCTCCTCTCGTGTCCAAGGACTTCGCACTTCTACAGACCATCCTCTCCAAGTTTGGGCAGCGCCTGGGAGCATTGGAGGACAACGAATGCCAGGCAATGAGCGAAACACCGCGTCACATTCGTTGGGTGTACACATAAGTGGAGTCCAGTGTGCCAAATGCAACGCAGGTTGTCAGTATACATATGTATACACCCAAGAAAGGCTTGAATATCATATTGTTAGGAGTCATGAGCGATGGTAGGATGTTTTACTATCATGGACAGTGACTATCTATATAACTAATTTGTCAGGCCCTTCCTTTTTGTTGAATGATCTCGCCCAGAATTGGTCACCTTGACCTGCAGGTGATGAAGACCAAGTTGACATCCCTCGAGTATCGGGGTGGCAATGGACTAGTGCGTCACTTGGACTGAATATTTAATTGTGAGATAGATGGAAACGACTTTGCACCCAAACCGCAAGGTATACCCATGAAGCACTTTCAAGTGTAGTAGACACGGTGGATATGACACTTGAATGGGTTTCGCCGCTTTTGCCATGCTATGCAGAGCGTTCAAACATGTCCTTCAACACCAAACGGAGAACCGGTGTCATCATGAGACTCCTCATCACAAAATGGTTGTCCATTGTTTGGGATGCTTCTGGATGATTTGCTCAAGGCTTGGGCGACTTCTACGCAGATCAGGCTTGAGCTTGGATGCATGGGTCAGGCATTTCGAGATATTTTGTGGCTCGGTGCTTGGGATGTTTGACCAATCCTCATCACATCAGCTTGCTCGAGCATTGCTGTATCCAGGGCCATTTTGGCTCCAGCAAGTACCTTGTGCGATGGCCTTAGCATCAATCGATGCCCGAGCCGTCAGGACAGCAGGGCGGACACTTTTGACGTCCATTGCCCAGCAGCCATCCTCTCCTGCTCGCAACAAAGAGGCACGGGAGAGCACCATCCCTCTCAAACAAGCGCATCAGGTGCAAGCCTATGATTTCAGAAGCGATGATTCACGAGCTTCCTCTCGTGGACTCCCAAATCATGTCCGGAGGCTCAGAAGCCTGAACGACGACCCTGGCGAGCGTCGCCAGGGTAGTGCTTCAGCGCCAGTGAATGGCTTCCGTGGCTTTCGAAGAGCGTCCCGAATGGATCCAAACTCATCCACTCGGATGGAATGTTTGAGTAGAGAAAGCCAAATGCCTAGAACTCAAACTAGGCAATTGAAGTCTGGTTATCGTCGTGCTTCGGCAACTGCAAGCCTTTGCAGAACAGCCTGCGAGGCGGGGCTTTGAAAGAATTCCGATGTCATTTTTGTTGATATTTGGTATCACATGCCCATCATGGTGTGGCTCCAACACGTTGGTTTGCGAGATTAAGATGCACTCGGCAATTCTATCAGCACTAATAGTACCATAAATATGTATACGCACTAATAAAATGTAATATAATACAATATATACTATTATATCTATAAGAATATTTACATGGATGAATTGGAGTCATCAGACGGGGGTCTCACTCAACAACTGGTGGATGTGAGGTATTTGCAACACATTGGCCAGTGAAAAAAGCGAGCTGCCCATAATTAAAATGTTCATTGTTTACAAGTGGGCTCAAGATGTTACTTCCAAACATGTTTGGGTGTGTAAGTTTGACCAATTGAACCCCTTCTGTTTGGGCCTCAACTACCCATCACATCCATCACTACGAAGTCTGAAATGCATTGCAGAATGCTACCCGGTCATGTCCGCCAGAGCGGCTAGGCGGAGGTTTCAACAACAGAAGACCATGGGAGATGTGGACTTGTGACTGTCGTTGTTTGTGATTTGCGGTGTGGTGAAGTGTCGTGCTGCGTGATGTGGGGAAGTGCAGTGCAGTGTCGTGTTATTGGATGTTATTGGTGTGTGAAGTGTGGTGGGCCGCAATACTCCTTTCTAGACACCTCCAACTTTTCTTTACTCTATATAGTCATTATCTATCCCACCTGCCAGGAGGGTTGTTGGATTTTGTCAGAGCTGTCCCGTTCATCCTCCGCCTCTTCCTCCTCCTCCGCCCCCGCCTCCTCCTGCTAGATCACAGCCGCCACCGCCAGAGTGCTAGATGGCAGTGGAGCTAGATTGCATTGGGCACCGGGTTGAAAGGCGATTGCCAAATCGCAGTGGGCACCACCAGACCTGAAGCAGAGAGAAAGAGTGCCAGAAGAGTGTCAGCACTGTTGCCAAATAGAATGTGCGCAATATATGCCACATAGAATGTCCGAATATATTTCGAGACTTCAGATAGATAGAGCGCCGGAATGTTGTATTTCATGCGCTGTGTAAATTACATTAGGTTCACCCTGACCTCCAATTTATATAAATTTTAACTATTTAGTTTTGCGAAGCTGGAAACTGAAACCAATCATAGCGCAAGCAGAAATTTAATGATCTATTTTGTTGACCTGTTACGTGACACATAGCACCAGAATGCTACGCATGGGGCTAGGCTTTGAGGCGCACGCTACAAAAGGACAGCCTGGGTCTTCAAATGGCCAGCTCAAGAACGTAAAAAACCGGTTGGTTGGGTTAGACTACCCATAGTTTAGTTTGTACATGAAATCAGCCAATTACTTAAACCAAAGGTAATTCAGAAGGGCCATGTATTTTCCAAATTAAATCAAAGTAGCTGAGCTATGGTTTCATTTCGTTTAGCAATGAACATAGCAATTTGTTTCTTCTCGTTGCCTACCATCTATTTTTAAAAACCTAAATTTGTATATTTTTGGTTGTTGTTTTATTTTACTGTTTTTAAAGCCGTACTCATTGATTTAGCTGGACGTCAGTGGAATCATGTTTGAACTCTTTGAATTCTTATTCAATTATGACGTTCAATAACTGAGGGGCCTATCAAATAAACAGTTGGGGGACCCCGGTCCCCACCATTAGTGCTATGCGTATGGAATATATGCCGGATAACATGCATTTCTTACAAGTACCTGTACGAAGTAGACATTTTCATCGGCGTCGGTTATCAGCAGAGAAGAATGCCATGGTGGGGATCCCTCGAAGTAAAATAAGTGTTCCTTATATTCATTTGTCATAACTCATAACTCTACTTCAGTCTTTGTGCCGTTACTTTCCTGTGGACATCACCGCCACCCATCAAGGCTTTCAGGTGCCAAGAGGTGCCCAGAACCCAGCTGCCAGCTGTTCCGAGGAAAACTGCAGGATTCGAAGGTGCGCCCACACCTCCCTTGGGACCGTCAGTTTTTGGTCTCCTGTAGGCCTATCTTGTGTGCCAGCCCGTATGCACACCCGCACCGCCCCTGTAATTTTTGCGAAATTTTGCAAAAGGACGCCTTCCCTGTGGCCATGCTTACATTTTTTCAGGTTTAAACAAACACGTTGTTTGTGCAAACATCAAGTCAAACTATACAAGTCGGCAATCCTTCCAGGGTATCTTTGAACAAGCACCGCAATTTTGACGTTTGACCAAGTCCCGAATTGTGTGGAGGCCAACAGCCACTACAGATCTCACATGGAAGACAGCTCCGTGGTGATTGACCCCTTCGTCGGGGATGCGGAAGATTCATGGGGCTTTTTTGCCGTGTATGATGGTCACGGTGGACGTCAAGCTGTGGACTTTTGTGAGCAGAAACTCCATACAACTTTGCAGGACCAAACGGCGGGGCCGCCCTGCGGCGGGGCCGCCGGTACCAGAGCCCGTTGACCTGTCTCACATGTCATAGCAAGCCTACCGTAAGAGAACAAAACATGTGCTCTGTTTGGTTTGCATATGCATATATGTGCACAATTATGCACATATACTGTAATTTTCTGTAATGTATATATATATATATGTATATATATATATATCAGATTTGTTTGTGTGAGTGTGTTGTAGGTTGCTCTCATTAGATTTTAACGGTATACTGTATATCGTTTCTCTTATCGCTAGGATGAACTGGGCAAGCTCTCGGAGATGAGCGACGAGGCGGTGAGTGACGCTTTCGTGCGTTGCTTTCGGAGAGTGGATGATCAACTGAAGATGTTGGGTACCTGGCGGTGCGGTTGCACAGCCACGGTGGTTTTGGCCCATCGAAATTCATCCAAAGGTACATTACGCCTTCATTCGGCCAATGTGGGCGATTCTCGTGCCATTGTCATCGATAAGAACGATGGTGAACATCGCCTCAGCCGTGATCACCGGCCGACGGATCCTGCTGAAATTCAACGGGTGGAGCATGAAGGCGGCTTTGTGGTCCGAGGGCGTGTGGTTGGTCAATTGGGAGTCTCTAGAGCTTTGGGAGATCACTCATTGAAAAGCGTGGGTGTCACTTGGTGTCCTTTTGTTTCTGCTCGTGATGTCTCCTTAGATTCTGTGCTGGTCATTGGATCTGATGGCTTGTGGGATGTCCTAAGTGATGGAGATGTGAGGGCCGTCGTTGACCGAAGTACAGCTGAACAGATCCCAGAGAAAGCTCCAGAGCTCCTGATCAAGGCTGCTTTGCGGCAAGGCTCCACCGACAATACCACGACTCTGGTGGCATACTTCGGAAAGCAGTGGACGCAGTGGACGTAGTTATTTCTTCCAAGAAATAGACTAAACTAGTGTAGTGGCATGGACCCTTCCACATGTTCGTGCGCGGGCAGAAGCTGGCAAAAGCTAGCAGTTTCTGCAGGGCAAGAAGTTTACAGGGACATGTCTTCGGACATGGCCAACCAAGGGCGGACCTCCATATCAAGACCAGAAACAATTCGATTCTTCGACTTGAATGAAGCATTGAACTTCAGTATATATACTCGTTGATAGTACTATAAGCACTCAATACAACTGCTGTGTTACTGCCCTGTGCGAGTCGCGCTGCAACATGCACCGCTTCCCACGGCGTCACTGCTGAAAGCTGCAGAGACAGCCGTGTGGCACTTCACAAGCCCCGAGTGGCATGCTTGCACCTTGCAAAGCTGCTCACATGTTGAGAACAAGAACCGGTTTTTAGTACGCCATGCTTCTTTGGTTTCTTGGAGCTCTTTTGGGCCTTGCACGCCTTGCACTTTCCTATACTCCCTGCCACTAGTGGCCAGAACGCTTCTTTGTACAAACATGTTTTGTATGTATTTGCCAGGCGTTCTGTTTTGGAGGATATCACTTCCCCTTAGCACAAACAAGTTGCTGAATCCGACCTAGGCTACATAGTTTGTCACATTCCATTCAAGCTTTGAAGCATGTCTGTCCTAGATGGCTGAATCCTGACAAAGTTTGCAAGGTGCAGATTGTTTATCCAGTGCAGCCACTATGTCCAGCCACTATGCGCATTGTTTCGGTACATTTCTTCGCGGCCTTTTCTAATTATGGACGGCCGTGCCTTTGGTGCCTTGGTTTGGAGGGGAATCCACGATTTACAGACGAAGTATAAGTGTAGGACCTTCGGTTTGAACATGTTTGACACTAAAAAGATGTCGCTCATGTTACGTATGTTGGTGTGATTCTTGGATTGTTGGCCATTTGTGTCTTTCTTTGCCAAAAGAGAAGGCTCACTGCTGTGAGAATTGATAAACCTACAGCTCGGGGGCGCATGACAGGGGCTTGGGAGCATGTTCCTTTAGAAGTCCAACGACCCCACAGCCACACGACGCAAGCAGAAGATTCCATTGACACGTGGAATTGGACTCCCCATCTTCGGCCATAGCATCCTTGTTTCAGCAGGTGAGCGGCTGGATTCTTTGCTAGATGAAACTAGAGTGTTTGGGTTCTAAAATGTTTTAAGCAAGTAACTTAGTTCTGTGGAAACGGACCTGGATGGTGCAGAAGATCTAGAGCTCATCGAATACCACATGCCTCACGGAGTCTGCAAACGCAGCTCACGCAGCTCAAACTTGAAGAAAAGTCGTCCAAAGCGTTCCTTGCGCTCGTTAAGCGCATTCCGGGCGCAAGGGGTTGGAGAGTGCGTTTCTCTCTTTGACTGATTGCGAACATGCCAAGATACAGAACCCGGAACTCCTTTACCATTTACCACCCTTTGTTGTCGAATGGCTCCTGCTACCACTTCCTAGTGTGAATAGTGAAGAGTGATGCAGAGTGCTGTTGTGATTTCTGAATAGCACTTAGCACATGTTCCACCAGCACGCCAGGAACACTTCACGGAGGGAGCCGAATACTTGCGTTCCAGTGGTGTGCTGGATGAATCAGATCCCGAAGATCCCAAGGCGAGTCCACATGGCCTGGCTAGCATAGGAGATGCCCAGGCATGCACTCACTGCACGACCCATGTTTATTTCTTGAATGTAGTACTATGTAGCGCTCCGGCTCATTCTTCATATCTCAATCCACAAGTCGAACGCAAACACTTTTCGAAGGGCTTCCCTGGGAAAGGATCGCAGGGCTGGTATGGGAAGAGATTCGTAGATTGCCATGAACGCAGCTTTAGCTTCAGTCGATCAGACGAGTTTCTTTTTTCCTCAACTAGCACTCCAACCTAACAAAGATTGATGCTAAGCAGTTCAGGCGGCTTCAAACTGCCAAAGCACACCTTAGATTCCAATTTACATCAATTTCCACTTATGGCACTCCTGCAAGCAGGCCCTGCAGTCGTGGTTGTTCAGGGTTTGGCCAGGACAATCACTTGTGGGTGGCGTTTCTGGATTGTTTGCGCGTCGTGGTGATCGACCTGATGCAGGTGATTATTCCAAACTACTTGGCCAGTCCATCCAACTGCGTTCAGCCTGCTGGTGGCTCGGTCACCGATGGGTCAGGCTTCCAAACGAGCTTATGATCTTTCCGAAAAAGGACAGGTGGGGAGGCTCAAGGGGAATAAGAAGCCTCCATTCTTCCACTTTTTCCACCCTGCGCCAGGTTCTTTCTGGTCAAAGGGCTAACTTTTTGCACCAGGGATCCTCAGGACTGTCGACCACCGTCTAATTTCGTTGGTTTGCGCCCTGCATGGCAGGTAAATCACGCTCTTCATACCACAAAGGCACAAGAAACACTTGTTGCACAAGTGTTAGTAGTGGGTGTAGGCCTTTGTGCTGAGAGATGGAGATCCTATGCTGCCAGGTTACTACAGCATTTGCCTCCAAGCTGCACTTTTTTCACTTTGCCAGCTGAGCAGCTGATTAGTTGTGGCCATCAGACAGCCAGGGTCATGTTGGGCAGTGCACTGTGAGACCACAGGCCACAAGCACGGAAGTCCCTGAAAGGGGGCTGAGAGGGTGCAAGAAGATGCCACCAGGCGGAAGCGTATACAATCCTTAGAATCCCATTCTATAGTGAATTGTTGTTCCGGTCTCGAGTATTCTCCAGGCATTCCAGGAAAATGTGGCATCCTGGAAAGAGTGTAACTGGTAGTGCTGGTAGTTTATTCTTTCATGGACAAAGCATAATGCCTTTCTACTGCCCGGTAACCATAAAACCCGCTGAAGGTCATTTGCTGGGATTCAGTATGTTAAGGAGGTGAGAAGTGGATACGATGAACAACAGGCTATGGTACATGTGATGCAGCAGATGCCGCTTTGAGGCTGCTTCGATGAGTGTGAGGCTTTGATGGATCAGGTGCGACCAGTTTTGTTGATGCTTTCGGGTTTGCTCAGGTTGCAGACCTGTCCACTGTCAAGAACCTTGAAACAAAAGGTTAGCCCAGCAGCAGTGAGGCAGTGAACTTCTTTTGGACCAAGCTGGCTGACAAGGGTAAATGAAACAAGGTGTTTGTTATTAAGAGTCTTAGGAACAAGTGCATCGCTACTAGGAACAAATGCCTTACTAGTAGTAACAAGAAGCTATTAGGAACAAGTGCATCGCTACTAGGAACATTGACTATTGTGTTTCCTCAGGTGGAGAAGAACTTGGAAGCGCCCATGGGCAGCTTGGAACTTCGAGTGGAAGCGATTCATCCCATCCAGCCCACTGGAAGTCTGCTCTGAGAGCATCCTGGACACGAGCTGCGACCCCGCATCATGGTCTATCACTTCATGTCTCTTTAAGAAATAGCAAACGGACAAGGGTACGCACTGTCAGTGAGATCTCCCTTCTATAATTGTCCTCCTCTAATTCTACAGCAACTTGAAGTCGGTGTTCAACAAAGCATCTAGGCAAGTGTAACCAACGTGTAGAGCATAGCCCTCAGTTTCACGGTTTCTCACTTAGAACAGCCCTTTACAGAAGTGTGGTTTATGAAGTGGGCAGGGACCGGGATCTTCCCAACAGCAGGCAAGTGCAGTGTATATCATTGGTTCTGTTACCCCGTCCGGTCACAGCAGCCAGTTGAGGCACCGCAGAGAAGATTGCGGATGTGGCACGGGAACTCAGCACAGGGTGCTTTCAGCACCAAGCCGAGGTATCCAACTGAAATGCGAACAACATGAATCTGAATATGATTGAATATGTATATGTAAAACATGATTGAATAGGCAATTTGAGACAGATGTGTTGCATGTGGGGAGCAAAGAAGAAATCAATTTATTCTAAGTGGACTAGTCTATATCAGAATGCAGGATGCTCCTGAGTAGTTGTACCGTCGACAGCCATCAGCGCATTTTCTTGGTGTCATTTTCTACACCAACGGTGTTGGAGGGTCCCCATGAGGGGGATGGAGAGACATCCCAAACAGGTTCGGTTTTGGGTTTATTGTATCGTGCCATTTTGCCAATAGTATTTTGGAGGTCACTTGAAACATCGGGACACAAATAAGGTGTACAGGTCAAAACGCATTCGACCCAGATTGTTCGTGGCGTTCATTTGGTGGGTTTGTTTGGGATGATCAGGCTTTGCCTCCCGACCCAGTGCCTTTTCAGAGCTCTTTTGGGCGGGTCCATTGGCATTTTCCAGCACCATTGTCTCCACTGGATCAACAAACCTACCAGCCAGCATCAGGCAACCCACCCTCCAACTGCTGAAGCAAAGTTTGGCTGCCTTTTGTTCCCGGTTGGATCATCTCAGGTCAAGGTCTAGACTTGGGATGGGACTCAATTTCCAGCTATTTTGTGACACCCTCTTCATTCTAAGTTATATACTGCAGTGGGTGAGACCTTTGCTTTCACTCTGATCTTTGTGATCCTCAGGTTAAGGGTTAACCTAACGGTTAAGGGTTCACAAAGATCAGCAGGATGCCAGAGGATAACAAAGATTGCTTCGTGGATTTGGCGATGGAGAAACGGAGGATGCCAGATTGATAGGCGTTCACCAATAATTGATTGACCATATTTGTTGATTGGTCTGGCTTCATCCTGAGCCTGGCTTCCTTGGACCTTTATGAAGCTAAAAGTGAAGCTGAAGCAACAATAACAAATAATCCAGATTGACATTGCATTCCTTAGGTCCTTGACCTTTCCATGAATCATTGAAATCATGACCAGATTGGATTGAATCATCACCGGTCTCTTCGCTGATCACAGGTCTCCGGCCTGGCTTCCGCCTCCCAGCCGGCCAACCGCACGCCGCGGGCTGAACTCGTTTGGAAAACAACACATCCAAAGACATCCCAAGAGGAGACGTTTGGTGTTGAAATCAACATGCGAAAACTCTCTACAAGTGCTCAAATGTGTCAAAAAGATCCTCTCAAATGATTTTGAGATATGCTTGTTTGGTTT